TAGGCTACACACCTTATAATTTGGGAATTATGGCTGATGTAGACAGGATTTTGTGAAAAAAATCATCTTATTGCTGGGAAACTTTATTACCACTACAGCATTTTGTTCATAGCTGAGTTACCGAACAAAATGTATGAGTGGAATAAACTTCCAAGTAATGGTATTTGTTAGGTGCTTCGAGGTCTGTTGATCTATTATTAACAACAGATACATCCATGATGGTTGTGAAAAAAAAATGAGAATGATAGATGGAGCTACCTGTTTTGAGGGAAGAACTGCCTTGGAGTGAGTGTACATTAGTAGGACCTTCCTTCTGTAGACGTGGATGATGTGTCGAGGGAACTTGGTGGTTAGAGCTTCCTCGCTGTATATCTCCTCACCTGCCTTTAACCTTAGGTATCATGGGGGAGAGATTGCAGGGCCGAGTTTTTTTTATAGCAGTGATGGTGGAGGAGCAGAGGTGAGGAGATAGAGAAGTGGAGCTGGTGGTAGAGATTCTGAAGAGGTGGGGGTGATATTTTTTTTAATTTAGGAAAATTGGATACATCACCAGTGTGCTGCTGCCCTATTCTATATGATAGTTACATAGTGGAAACAAAAGCTAACTATGTGGGGCAGCGGACCACCAGCAACAACATCTTGGTTCATTAGGCAAGCACCAGACTCCCGGAGCCCATGGCCGGACTCTGGGAGTAGAAAGACTCGAAACTCATCAAAGGTATATCAAAGGTATGTTTCTCTACCATATTCCATCACATAGGAAGGGCCACATGCCTAGTGTTGTGTCAGCCTGAGCTGGGAGACTTTAGTAGGACAGTGAGGATATCTTCAAGTGCAGTTAGTATCACTTGGGAATCAGTGTCTCTGGATGGCCTATCCTGCACACAGGAGAGATGGAATTTTAAGTGTAAGTCAGACTCTGATGTACATGTGGGCTGACGGGCCCCCCCAGCAGCAACAACAACCTGAGTGACCAGACAAGGAAAACTCTCGAGACCCATCAAAAGTGAATCCATCATCCTGGAACAGGTACAACAGAAACTATACGTAGGAAGCAGAAGAGAGGGAAGGAAACCTGAAGGACGTTCCGGGGGGTCAGTGCCCCCGCGACCCAGTTCCAAACATACATTGATATATAACAGTGCAGGGTTATTATGTGCCTAAGTTGGTAGCTTGGCGACGACCAGCCTGAACCTGACGAAGGAAGGCGGGGTGGAGGCTGTGGCTTGTTGGGGGGGAGAGGCATGAGCAGTGTTGATGTTACCAAGCAAGTTGTCTTCACCCTCTTGACGGGGGGACGTGGATAGTGAGGAACGAACAGTACATAGAGAGAGAGAGAGAGAGAGAGAGAGAGAGAGAGAGAGAGAGAGAGAGAGAGGGAGAGGGAGAGGGAGAGGGAGGAGAAGGAAAGGAAAGGATTGAAGAAGAGCACTACCTGCCTACCCTCCATGTAGGAAGAGGAGGGAGAGATGAGGAAAGAAGGGAAAAGAGACAGAAGCAGCAGAATGTACCTGTGTAGCACAAAAGTTAACCTGCAGTTTACTTGTAGACAATTCCAGGAGGTTGCCGCCCATGCGGCCTGTCCTGCTGCTTGATGGTCTAATGAATCAGTCTGTTGGTGCTGGTCGCACGTTGGCCACTCCACAACCTTGCGAATCACGATCTGACTCGAGGAACTTATCAAATTTACTCTTAAAAACAACCAGGCGTCTGAGTTGAACCTGCCTCGCATGGGCCAGTAGGCCTGCTGCAGTGTTCTTTCTTTCTTTGTCAGTTTTCTAAACCATTTATCACATCGCTTTTGTTATTTTTGCGTGTAAATTAACGTGAAATGTTTTCCCCGTTAAATTACGTTAAATGTAATTAAATATTTCTTTGGACAGCTTCAATATATAACACATGTTTCAGTCAGGATATTAATAAATATTTTTTTTTTAGTAAGTGCAAATTTGTCATTATATTAAAATAATGAAAAATTGGAATACTTGAAATGGATTCGATACCTGGAGAGTGTTGCTTCTGATCGACTTCAAACCCTAAGTGATGGTATCTCTCTCTCTCTCTCTCTCTCTCCTCTCTCTCTCTCTCTCTCTCTCTCTCTCTCTCTCTCTCTGTGCTGAACAATTATAAAGATGAGTATATTTAGCCAGTGTTGTTTGCACAGACACGCGTTGAACCTCTGGATGATCGTGTGAGAGGCAAAATGAGTGAGTCTTGTTGCAATGTTTACCACAGGGACTTGTTGGTAAGTTGGGGATCCTGTGGTGGTGGTGAGAGGGGGAGTGTTGGGGCGGTTATAGGGGGGGGAGGAGTGGCGGTAATAGGGTGATGGTGTTTTATTTCTAGTATTTCACTGTTGCTGGTGTGTTGATGTTAAAAGACTAGTGTTGCAGATATTGATGACTTGATTCTTCTTTCTCCTTTCTCCGGACTCTCATCCTCTCCCTTCTCTCCCCCTTTCCCTTTCTTCTTATATCTCCCCCTCCTCGCCCTCCCCATATCCCTCCTCTTTCTCCTTTCCCGCAGTGTTTATTGTCTGTTTATTCCAGACTGTTTATATTTGGCTACACTGCCTCGGTGTGCGGTGTACATGACCCTTTGTGTGCCTGACGTGTGTGTGTGTGTGTGTGTGTGTGTGTGTGTGTGTGTGTGTGTGTGTGTGTGTGTGTGTGTGTGTACTCACCTAATTGTGGTTGCAGGGGTCGAGACTCAGCTCCTGGCCCCGCCTCTTCACCGACCGCTACTAGGCCCTCTCTTCCCCTGCTCCATGAGCTTTATCATACCTCATCTTAAAACTATGTATAGTCCTGCCTCCACAACATCGCTTGCCAGACTGTTCCACTTCCTAACTACTCTATGACTGAAGAAATACTTCCTAACATCCCTTTGACTCATCTGAGTCTTCGGCTTCCAATTGTGACCCCTTGTTTCTGTGTCCCATCTCTGGAACATCCTGTGTCTGTCCACCTTGTCTATTCCACGCAGTATTTTGTATGTCGTTATCATGTCTCCCCTGACCCTCCTGTCCTCCAGTGTTGTCAGACCGATTTCCCTTAACCTTTCTTCATAGGACATTCCCCTTAGTTCTGGAACTAGCCTTGTTGCAAACCTTTGCACTTTCTCTAATTTCTTGACGTGTTTGACCAGATGTGGGTTCCAAACTGGTGCTGCGTACTCCAGTATGGGCCTGACGTACACAGTGTATAAAGTCTTGAACGATTGTGTGTGTGTGTGTGTGTGTGTGTGTGTGTGTGTGTGTGTGTGTGTGTGTGTGTGTGCTTGTGCTTATGCTTGTGAACATCACCCATTGTATCCATAATGGCTTGTGTTCGTATGAATCTTGTCTAAACGCCTGTGTATGACCTTGTGTGTGCAAGTGACATCGTGTAGGTATTCCTCCCAGTGTGTGCACAGCACCGTTTAGGTAGGTATTCTCCCAGTGTGTGCACAACACCGTGTAGGTAGGTATTCCTCCCAGTGTGCACAGCACCGTGTAGGTAGGTATTCCAGTGTGTGCACAGCACCGTGTAGGTAGGTATTCCAGTGTGTGCACAGCACCGTGTAGGTAGGTATTCCTCCCAGTGTGTGCACAGCACCGTGTATGTTGGTATTCCTCCCAGTGTGTGCACAGCACCGTGTAGGTAGGTATTCCAGTGTGTGCACAGCACCGTGTAGGTAGGTATTCCAGTGTGTGCACAGCACCGTGTAGGTAGGTATTCCTCCCAGTGTGTGCACAGCACCGTGTATGTTGGTATTCCTCCCAGTGTGTGCACAGCACCGTGTAGGTAGGTATTCCTCCCAGTATGTGCACAGCACCGTGTATGTTGGTATTCCTCCCAGTGTGTGCACAGCACCGTGTAGGTAGGTATTCCTCCCAGTATGTGCACAGCACCGTGTAGGTAGGTATTCCTCCCAGTGTGTGCACAGCACCGTGTAGGTAGGTATTCCTCCCAGTGTGTGCACAGCACCGTGTAGGTAGGTATTCCTCCCAGTGTGTGCACAGCACCGTGTAGGTAGGTATTCCTCCCAGTATGTGCACAGCACCGTGTATGTTGGTATTCCTCCCAGTGTGTGCACAGCACCGTGGGAGGTAGGTATTCCTCCCAGTATGTGCACAGCACCGTGTAGGTAGGTATTCCTCCCAGTGTGTGCACAGCACCGTGTAGGTAGGTATTCCTCCCAGTGTGTGCACAGCACCGTGTAGGTAGGTATTCCTCCCAGTGTGTGCACAGCACCGTGTAGGTAGGTATTCCTCCCAGTGTGTGCACAGCACCGTGTAGGTAGGTATTCCTCCCAGTATGTGCACAGCACCGTGTATGTTGGTATTCCTCCCAGTATGTGCACAGCACCGTGTAGGTAGGTATTCCTCCCAGTGTGTGCACAGCACCGTGTAGGTAGGTATTCCTCCCAGTATGTGCACAGCACCGTGTATGTTGGTATTCCTCCCAGTGTGTGCACAGCACCGTGTAGGTAGGTATTCCTCCCAGTGTGTGCACAGCACCGTGTAGGTAGGTATTCCTCCCAGTGTGTGCACATAGCTAAAAATTCAAGTATGCCAGAAAACGATTCAAACTGTCTGAGTCATCGACATATGCCATGACACCAACTTTTCTTTTGCTTTTCTATATACAAACTGTCAGACCGCAAGCCTGGAAATCCTTTCTTTTCCTAGAGAGTATGGAGAGGAAATATTCCCTGCGGTACTCTTCAAGGTATCCCTTATAAGGAGGTATCCCTCACAACCAGTATACCCATGAGATCTATTCATGTATGCCAGTAGTAACAGCCTGGTTGACTAGGCAATTAAGAAACAAGCCTTCTCCAGCGCCGGGCTGAAGGCGAGCCTGGTCCAAGGCCGGGCTGGAGGAGTAGAAAAACTGTTAATATTTTTTTAGGTGTTCTTAATATTTGTGTTTTTAATATTTGTCTCTTTTTTAGCGCTTAGAATATACATTTTTGTCGTGTATGCTACAGTTAACCAGTCTTTGTGTCTTTTACAGTGGGCGGGATGAGTGGGCGTGGGAAGCCGACGGCGGCAGTGAAGGTGTCACCGCCCACAGTGCCAGACACAGCTGGCGGGGGCAGCCAGCGGCACTCTGGCTCATCGTTCAGTTCCGGTGTGTACAGCAGCGGCGGCGACCAGCGGTCATCATACTCCTCATCCGTTAGTGATGACAACCCCCCGCCCTCACCCCGCAGCCCCGCCAGAGGTACGTACCCCTGGGGATGTTTTGGTGATGCTCTAGTGGGTGTTCTGGTGGTGGTGGTGTAGTGGGTGTTCTGGTGGTGGTGTAGTGGGTGTTCTAGTGGTGGTGTAGTGGGTGTTCTGGTGGTGGTGTAGTGGGTGTTCTGGTGGTGGTGTAGTGGGTGTTCTGGTGGTGGTGGTGTAGTGGGTGTTCTAGTGGTGGTGTAGTGGGTGTTCTGGTGGTGGTGTAGTGGGTGTTCTGGTGGTGGTGTAGTGGGTGCTACAATGTTGTGGCTTGTTGTGGTATACAATACTGACAAAATGAAGAATTAGACGCATGTGCAACATCTGGGTATCTTTATTTTTTATTTGTAGACGTTTCGCCATCCAGTGGCTTTATCAACACAAATTCAGGGACGTAAATGGGCAGGCTATTGAACTGTAAACAAAAGACGAGGTAATGAGTCTCAGCCTTGGAGTTGAAGAGCACCGTAGTCTTGTACCATTCTCAGTTGGGTACGCAGTTTAGTAAAAGTGTTTTGGGTCTGGTTTGGTATTGTCATTTATACCCTCCTTGGGTAGGTACGCTTGTATCGTCCTCGGGTAAGTACATTTATACCATCCTCATGTTGGTACCCTTTTACCTTTCAGAGAGACATAACTTCCTGGGATAGTTCTGGGTGCTCTAATGTTGTTGTTTGTACCATCCTCACGTAGGCACATTTGTACCATTTTGAGGCAGTTACATTTATATCATCATGGAGTAAGCACAGTTGTACCATCTTGTAGGTATATCATTGTAGGGTAGGTACAGTGGTACCATTCTGAGGTACTTACCTTAATATCTTCCTCAGGTTACTTTGCTCTAGTTGGTCGAAGAAGGGGCAGCGGGGGGCGTTGACCCCCGGAACGACCTCCAGGTAGATCCCAGGTAAATCTGCAGGTTGCCTGGTTACCTGTAATCGCTTCTGGAGGTCACACACCCTGTCTTGCGTCCTGGCCTTAAACCAGGATTTCTGGTTGCTGGACTGATCGAGCAGGCTGTCGGTGCTGGCTGCTTGTGCTAGCATAAAAACCCTCGAAACTGATCAAATGTATTCAGGTACGAATATTTCCTAATTAGGAGTGTATTGTAAGCCTCCTGAGTACCTTACCTCTCATAGTTACGTTATGTACTCTCCGTTATTACAGTACAACTTGTGTAATGCGCATAAACGTTATCAGAGAGATGCTTGACTTCTTGCCTAGGCGATCCTGATTCAAAGAATTAGAGCTCCCTTCCCGTTCTTCGGATCAAACACACGTTTTCCATTCCCCAGGCTCCGAGGATCTTTTTAGTGTTCAGTTCTTTCCCAGATGTTAGGGGGAGGACGTGTTGAGAAGCGGCATCATCAGGGGGCGCAGCACCCCAGCGGTCAGGTCCCAGACCGAACCATGGTGAAGGGAAACAATCTTCTCTGGTCTCTGGTTCACAGCTGGTTCTGAGAGCTGGTCACCGAGTCTTCCACTGCATCATACCCACAAATACCACAACTCATTAATGTTTGGGTTGGCGTGGGCGGTCGCCTCCACCTGTGTGTGTGGGCGTGAGTGAGCGTAAATGTGGGGGGGGGGTGAATGTGTGTGATGGCTGAACTTGGCAAGTTGTGCTGAGCAAGTAGCATTATGCACTTAGCCTCCGCCACTTGTTCCAAGTCACTCCACTTTTCACTTACCATGAGAGTAAGAGGTCCTAGAAGAGGTACTTCTGTGGCTCATCTAAAGAAGTACTTCGTAACATCCCTATGGTTCATCTGTCTTCAGCTTCCACCTTCCTTTCTCTTCTCCCTTTTTCTCTTTATTTTATCTTGTCTGCCTCATCAATTCCTCTGGTACTCTCGGACTCCGAGAGTACCAGAGAGTAGTAAGACTCAAAACTCATCAAAGGTAAAGTTAGCTGTGTATGTTGGGGGAGTACATTGCCCAGGGAAAGGGAGACGATCCTGACAGCGGTCCGGGCGAAACGGCGACCCCAAGTGCGAGTTTTCGGCGAAAGGGGAGCTAATCAGGTTTGATCCGAGGAAGGGTGGGGTATCTCCAGCTGCTGGAGTCGGAACAGTGACTTGTGGCACTGTTAATGTGATCGTTGCTGTTGGTTACTTGGTCAGTTAGGTTGTTGGTGCTAGCGGCCACAGGTCTACATACCCATCACAGCCTCGCAGATCTCACGCTGCTATAATAACAATATTATTATTATGATTATTATAAGTAATAGATATAATTAGTCGAAATATTTGTTACGTGTTAGAGAGCATTAGAATGCGTTTTACCCAACACGCGAATCCTGGCAGTACCCGAGTCTTGGCAGCAGGTCTGCGAGTTTTTCACACATTTTGCATAACAATGTCACACATTTACATAACATTTTTAACCCTAGGTGCGACCCACAACGCCAACACTGTGCTTATTTGTACTGCTAGGTGAGGAGGGGCGGCAGGTTTGTAGGAATACTGCACAGTACTGTTACCCATAGCCAGGTTTCCCTAGCCTGGTTCTCCTAGCCTGGTTCTCTTAGCCTGGTTCCCTTAGCCTGGTTCACCTAGTTAGGTTTCGTCGTTAGCCTGGTTTCCCTAGCCTGGTTCCCCTAGCCTGGTTCCCCTAGCCAGGTTCCCCTAGCCAGGTTCCGCTAGCCTGGTTCCCCTAGCCAGGTTCCGCTAGCCTGGTTCCCCTAGTCAGGCTCCCCTGGTCAGGTTCCCCTGGTCAGGTCCCCCTGGTCAGGTTCCCCTAGTCAGGTTCCCCTAGCCTGGCAGCCGCAGTTGATACCTTTCAGTCGCAAGCGGCGACACTGAGGTGTTGGCTCTTGATCCACCAAACAGATCAACTGTCTGTCACCACGACAGATCAACTGTGTCTGTCACCACGACACCCCTCAAGGAAGGTTCCTTGATGTTGGTGAGGGGCTCTTGATTTAGGGAATT